GGCCACTCAGTGGTAGTAATTCCTTCATCCTCCAGGACTTGTGTGTATACTCTGGACTGGACGGTGGTCTGTCTGATGTGCAGTGCAGGAGTCTGTACTGTCTCCATTCCTGTTCACCCTGTAAACCTCAGACTTTCAGTACAACGCCTGGTCATGCCAACTAACGAGATAATATGACAAAGTGTTGGAGTGCTTGGAAGTATTAGTGATGAGCATAAGAAAGAATACAGAGCATTAGTAGGTAATTTGTGGAGTGGCCTGAAAGGAATCATCTGGTTATGTGTGTGAATAAGAACAGAAACGATGACTGACTTCAACAGGAAGAGGACAGCTCTATGACCCGTGTCTATCCTGAGACAGGATGCTGATGCATGGACATACATCTTGAGAAAGTTGAGGGTAAACAGGAATGTTTCCTCTGGATGAGTCTGACTCTACCAAAGGAAAAGGGGAAAGATGCAGAGAAGACAGCGCGAATGGTTTGAGTACAAGCACTGGGGCCTCCACATTAACAACTGACTGAACTGCAACACCAACACAGATACTGTGTATTTCCTATGAAGCTGAGAGTCTTGTGTGTGTGCAGTAAAATTGAGATTTTCTATTAGTCATGTATGCAGAGTGCAGTGTGCTGGAGCTGGTGACACTGTGGACTCTCATCTCTCTCCCTCTTCTCTCCTCTTAAAGCAGACAGTGTTCTGAAACTTTTAAAGCTCTGCAGAAAGACTTGAGAACTGTTGCGCAGCACCACTTAAAAAAATTACTCCTTGGAAGCACAATATGAAAAAAAGAGGGATGTCTTGAGACATTTGGACACTAACCTCTGTCATATGTGGTCATTGTTAAATAATACACCAATCATCAGATAGCTATATATTTCTAAATATAAAAATTTGGTGAATCTGATCAAACAGATTTTAAGTAAAAGAGAAATGCAAACAAGTTTTGCAACTTTTCCCTAAACAAAATGTACAAAAATGGGCTGATATCAGACAGAGTAGCCATCTGAATACACTTTGACTTTGATACTTCGACCAAGGAAACAAGAAAGGAGAACGAAACAGTAAAATATGCCACTGTGTTACCTGATTTTTGTGTTTATCTTTTACATAAATAAATGTGCACTGTAAATGATTGCAGAGAAGGCACAAATCAGTGCACAAGGAAAACAAAAATCATCAGAATTCAGGAAATGAAGTGTTTGAAGGTCAAAGTTTCCTGGGGGACGTCCAAAAGCTACGCTCATTCTTCCCTATTCTGCCTGCACGCTGCAGAGAAAACAGGTTAGCTTAGTTGTATCTACTGAAACCCAGAGCTAAACTAGCACTCTTACGCTGAAATAATACAAAATGGCCCCATGTTAAGTTAACAAGGACATAATAGTAGATCATCAGAAGCAAGAGACTGTGCTTTTGTTTAGCTGGGTGGACAAACTAGTTTAACAGAGACTTGTTTCATTCTGGATGAATACTGAAAGAGTAGTGTTCCAGCTCCAATATTACTCATAGACTACATTATTAAAGATATACCTTGTATACTTATAGTACAAAAATTAGAAGCTAAATGTACAGAATCACAGGCAACAGGCTCCAGATGCAAGAGCAAGGCATGAGCAGTCCTAACGAAAGAGAAGGATCTGAAATTTTTTTCCATACTTTACACAATATAAGCCAAGAGTTTACAGAAAGGCTTACATCTGCAATATCCATATTCATGAAAGAATCAAAATCTAAGTAGAACATATGGGAGTCTGGTGTGTGTGTGTGTGGAGAGGTTTGGAGATATCACATTTATTTGTGGAAAAACACGGGCTCTTAATGTGGAAATCAAAGAAAGAAAAAAAATCAGCATCAGTCCACGGTATGATCATGTGGGGATCAGCCTCTTCCTTAGCATTTTCCCAGTGTGGGTGGTTTGGTGGGTGCATGTGTGTGAAAGAGTGTTATGTGCTGCCAAACACAAAGCAGGCAACATTTCGCCCTCTAGTGTTCACGGCTGTGTTTGGACTTGATTCCGACGCGCAAATAACTGAGTGCTGCTCAATGAAAAGTACATAGATAGATGAGAAAAGCTCACAAAGTATTAAGGTACTTGGGATTTTTTGGGATTTTTTAAACTTAAATATTTGGATTCTTTTTGTATTACATAGTGTTATAGTGTAAAAATATACAAAACATATTGCATAAATGCATGCATGTGCAATAAAACTAACAGACCTAAAACCCCTGATTATTTTAACAAACATATAACCATTTACTTGTTTGATATCACTAAACAATATCTATACGTCACGCTTATTTACATATCTGAACGTGTATATCAAACACACTGTTGTTGTATTCACATTTTGGCATGGAGATGCTGCTAATCCATTTTTATACCACTGTCATTGCACAAAACAGGTGTTTCTCTGTTCTTTTGTGTTACACTGGTATCTCTCCTTTGAATACAATTACACAGTGCTTTATATTAGAATTTGCAACCCATGTAGATGAGCTAAAGTTAGAGGGCGGGACAACAATTGGATCAAAGCAGGTATATCTTTAGTATCATATGTAGCAGTTTTTACTCTCTCTCTCTGTTATGACAAAAATCTGTAACCATAGAGCCAGTTTCATGTATGAGGGGACAGGGTTCAAGATGTGCTTGAAAATCATGTTCAGATCTTTTTAAATTACTGACTTCATACACTTAATTACTTTTGGATCAAATGGTGATTCCCCCTTGGAACTGTAGCTAATAAATCTTCAACAACAGTTACTTTTACTGGAAGTTAAGAAGTAGGATGAAGCGATGACTTCAGAATTGAGCTATACGTGGCGCCGACTCTTAGCTCAATTACTTTAGAGTCATAGAGATATTATCTTATCGTTAACTGTATTACTGTGCCAACACAGTATATTGCTGCCAAACAGACCTATCAGATCTGCTGAGGTACGTGTCCCTGTAGCATGAAGCTACATTTCTGAGAAAGTGTATGCTAGGCTGAGGCTTCCATGCGTGGGCAATTCATTCTCCAAAGGGGCCACATGAGACACTAGGACTGTTGTGGAGGGCTGCACCAATACGCTGAACTTAGTTCTCCTCATTATTGCTTAGGCTATGCTGTAGTGTATAGAGTTAAGATGAAGCTTTCTATTTCTACGCAGTGTTACTGAGCCATGACTTCATGTTGTAGCTATGAACTGTCACCAGGGGACAGTATCAGACAATATTTCCAGCCACCTGTTTCTGTTTTTATTGGCTCTAGCTTAGCTCTTGCCCCAGAGAAAACAGAAGTCGTAGCATACAAAGAACTTTATGAAAGAGTGAAGCTTGCAGTAAACTTTAAAATACTTGACTATAGTTTTTACATACAAAAAACTTACAGTGTTCACACGTGATGTATGCCGTACCCCTCTGGATACACAGTATGTCCATCCATTCTCTTCCACTTCTCCAATTCAGGGTAGTTGGGGGGCTGGAGCCTATACTGGCTGTCGGAGAGCAAGAGGCAGGATACACCCTGGATAGGTTGCCAGTCTGTCGCAGGGCTAACACATAGAAACAGACCACACAGCATATGTCTGTACTATATTCAAACTTGTTTCATATTTCTGCAAGTAAGATTGGAGTCACTGTAGCCGCAGCTGTTGTTATGCTACCTACCGGTAACCATGTGAAACTCACAAACAGTACTCCTTCCAACAGAACGTGTTTGGTCTTTATTGGTGAACGGCTGTGGAATCAAAGCACTTTGAAATCGGATGATGCTTTTTTAATACACCCTGTACAATCAGACAGTCACATTATTGTACTGACATATGTGCACAATGTACTGAGGTTCACAGTTGTTTCAGGACGTGTAAAGTTGTGAAACCTCATGTGTAATGTGCAAAAGAATAATCTGACCAGGAAGTTGTTCTTTTAAATCTCATTTTGGGGGCATTTTGGGTATAGGAGAACAGCGAGGGATATTTTAAGAAAAGGTAAGCATTTCTTAAAATACACAGTCCAACAGGTAAAATCTAAAACCCACAAACAAGAGACTTAGACATGCAGGAGTAACACAAGACTATATACACAAACAGGACTGATTAGACAACAGGACACGGGAGGGATCACCTGACAGCAGACAATAACGGTCAAGGAAACATAGGAAGAAAGAGACCGGAAGTAAAACTAACCTTCAACATAAAACAGGAAATAACCAAAACATAATAAAAGACATAAAAAGTTACAGACAAAAGAACACAAAGGGACTAAAACCAGACGGAGGACTGGCACTGGAGAGCCGACCTCTACTACTACTACTCTATTATATTATTATACTACTATAATAATGTAATATAAAATTATACTACTATTATATTATTAATACTACTACTACTACTACTACAACTACTATTACTACTACTACTACTAATAATAATAATAAAGACATTAACCCAAAATTATAATACTAAAACTCATCATCAGGGTAATAAGATCAAACCAGAAACAACACTCTGAAATGAACGAAAAACCTCAAATTAAGCCTCATAAACTGAGGAGACTAAGTATCCAAGCTACACAGTATCAGTAATGAAACATCGAGTTGCTCTTCATCACATAAATATAACTAAAATCAAATCTTTTTTCTGTAGGATTGTGCAAAAGAGTCCAAACTTTGTTTAGATTTTCAAAAGAACGGGCAGACCTTCAGTAAAGCTGTCTGACATGATGTGTATTTCTTGCTGTCAGCTCCACTGAAGTGACCGGTGATTAAGCGCAGGCCTACGTGGGAACTTGCCTCTGCAGATCACATCTGGCATTCGTCTGTCAGCCTTTACTTCTGTTTGTTTTACAGTCCGGTTCACATTTATGTCTTTATAAAGGCCACTCGCCTGTGTTTGACGTTTAAATCACGAAATGCAGCGTGAACTTTTTCCACCCCATTAAACCTGATCCTGCTAATACCCCCCCCCCTCCCCACCTTCCTCCCCTCCTCCGCCTCCCCCTCACCACCGCTGCTGCTGCGCTCCTCATACTTTCCAAATAAAACGGATCCAGCTGTGTCCAGCTGTGTGCCCTGCGTGCGTCACACCCGTGTGCTGCTCGGTAGACAGACTAGGTGGAAGAGAAGGAAAGATGTCCGGCATCGCGCAGCTGTCGGTGTTCCGGGGTTTGTGCTTTCTGTGGGCAGCCGTCGGCACGGCGAGGAGCGGGACCTTGTTCCCGCGGGAGAGCCTGGAGCGGGGGCCGGTCAGCTTGACCGATATGTTCCGAGAGGTAGAGGAGTTGATGGAGGACACTCAGCATATACTGGAGGAGGCAGTGGACCAGGTTGGCGTCATATTTTATCCATTCATATAAAGCCAGTGCTGACTGGCAGAGAAATCCAATGTGTCCATATTAAAGTAAATACGCGACAGTTTTATTAGAAAGCAGGGGGATAAAAAAGTGTTTCAAATTATTTTAATGCTCAGTTCCTTTTAGCAGACACATAGTTTCCGTGTCTGCTTTAAATCTGACCCACGCCATGCTGAGTACCACCGTCACTCATCATGATAGTATTTGCTTAAAATAGAGATTTCCCGGCCAGACACTCAGTTCAATAAAAGAAAAGGCAATACGGAAGAGCTCCTGCAAGAAGGTCATACAAACAGCTTTTTCTAGACAGCCTTCAGTACCTTGTGTTTGTTATTTTCCTTCCCAAGAATTGAATTTCAGCAGGTCCGATACATTTCCTGATGTCAGTGAGCGTCTGGTTTTAATCATTTCTGGGCTACTGGGAGGTTTCCCTTTTGCATCAAGCAGAGAATGCAAACTATCCATTCTTATAGCCCCCTTAAGGATCCATATTTTCCAAAATATGAACAACAGATGTACAGTATAACATATGCTGCTCTTTACTTAAGATTTACCCTAATTTTCCTTCCAACAGATCACTACAGAGAGTGCAAAATCCTCTTCAGGCTCACTGGAGCTGGGTCCTAACTACCACAATGAGACTACGATGGTGATAAAGAACGGAGACAAAGCAGTTAAGGTGCTAGACAGAACTGACAAGGTAGGGATTCACTCATTACCGTGTAACTTTCACACACAAGCCATTCACTTCAGTCTGTCTGAGTGGGTTTAGGATTAATTGGTAAGAAAAGAAAAGTTGTTTTTCTACCCCAGGTCTGATACAGTATTTCACCCCCTTACTGTTTTTATAGGACACTAACAACAACACTGGGGAGACTCATTTGTCCCATGTTCATATGGAGATCTCCAGTCAGTGGAACAACATGAATCATGTGAGTCTTTTACCTCTTGTCCTTGATCCAGACCTAAACCTAAACCAAGTTTTAAACAAGGTTTTGTCTTTTTCTTCTGTGTCCACATTTTCCCGATGCTGCCATGAAGCTGCTATTTTTATGTGAGTCAGTATTTTGTACTGAGATTAATAGTTTAACATTTTGGCTTGTATCAAGTTGGGATTCTGGAAATATTTTGGAGAAACACAAAATCCAACTCACTTAGTTTCAGACCTCTTTTCAAAGCGATGGAAAGTTTACAGGCTGCCTTTTGGAAACAGATAAAAGCTCAAGCCTCTTTTTTATTACATTCCAATGAGAATCTGTCAGTATTATTTTAAATATTTATCAGCTTTTAGAGTGCTTGATTTCAGATGCATTTTCCTTCAGTTTGGGAAATATTCCACATTTGTAAGACGAGACAGAGAGAAAGAGAGGTTTTTGAAACCATGGGACCATTGTATTAATACGTTTTTTCAACAACAAAAAAAAGAATGATCTCATCCAGCAAAGAAACCTACCATATACTTTTCATAGTTTTCACCAAGCGGAGGCCAGCTTGGATTGAGGTTGCTGCTGCTGCTTGCTGCCTGCTCTTTACTTTACGGTGGTGGTTTTGATCTTTTTCTTTCCTGGCAGCTGTACAGATGGTGGTTATGTTAATAGAGGAAAAAATGCCAAGGAAGCAAGGAAGATTGTAAGCCAAAAAGCTGTACTTTTGTAAAGAAAATACTAAAACAAATAAATTAAACAACTAACGACATATGTCTTTAACCTTATTTGTTAAGTCACAGTAGAGTCAGTTAATCGCATGGCACTGTTGCTGCTTCAAAAAAAAAAATTAGTCAGCGAATGGGGAGTTGAAGAAAAGCACATGTAAGCTAAAATGTGGAAACATTTGGTTAAAATGTGGATGCTTTTTGGATGAGTGGAGGCAGTCTGTGAGTAATGTGATTTAAGTGAATAGAGGGTCTAGATAATTTCCTACAGCACTGCTGTCCATAACAATTGTCAGTCAAATGCCTTATTGTTGCTACAAAGTGTTGCAGACAACTGTGGCTACTACATTTCAGCTGTTGCGTTAAATGTCCCGTATTTTGCTCCTTTGTGGTTTCATAACTCTGGTCTGTGCTCTTTTTACCCTGATTCTGCATACCTCCATTTCAGCTGCTGAATTTTCTGATGGGTTACCTAGCCCAGCTAAGACACTGCGTTGGCATGAGTTCTCTACCTAACTCGTTAAGTAGCAGTGCAGCATTCTTAGAAAATGTCAGTTGCCAATAAAACAGCAAGGCATGCGCTCCCTCTTTGTTCACTCTTTGCTTGTGAGTGTGCTGAAAGAGCTATTAGGCAGAAACCGTGCCTTTGTGTCAACTTGTAAGATAGATAAGTAATGAGAAGACAAATTGTATTAAGCTGTGTGAGAGAATAACTGAGCTTCTGCCAGGAGCACTTCAGACAAACCTAGGATTGTTTCTCCATTTTCAGACATTTATATTTGGTGGCATTTCTGGGACCTCCCCGCCATTTGAAAATCATACGTAGAAAGCCTAAGAGGAGGGGGAACAGCAGCAAGATCCTCCTACTGTTATGATTTAACCGAAGCAGGACGGGACACAAGAAAAGCAGTTGACAAGGTTTATTCACCAATTCATAATGTGCAGTGGAATTTTCAGAGGCAAAGCCAGAGAGGAGAGACATTGTAGGAGAGTGGTGAAAACAAACAAGCAGACTAGAGAGCAAAACAATAAAATACTGTGTGGAATTCCTTTCACACAAGGAGGAAATCTGGAGCACAGCACAATTCTAAGGTGTTAACTTGAAAACACAAAAAAATTAACACTGAATTATATTATAAACAATCTGTAGAGTGTAGGCGGAAGAGCTGGCGCCATGGTGGATGGGACAAGTGCACAATCCAGGGAACCAGTGATAACAGTTGTGTAGCCATGGCTCTGGGAAACACACAAATGTACACAAATGCAGGGAGAGAAAGGTCAACACTGCAGGCAAGCAAGGATTGCCCACAGAACAAAGCAGACAACCGACATGGTTCAAGTCAAAAATAGCGCAAACAGGCTGAACAATATGGGGTGGTGGTGGTGGGTGACAAAGCAGCTTGCAGCAAAATAGCACGCTCCTATAAGACTTGCTAATAGGATGAGCAGAATAGAATCTGCTAAGCCGCCAGCTGATGAGAGCTGGCATCTGAAATCTGCTGAACTTGACTCCCCGACCTGCAAAAAATAACAGTTGATTTCCAAGCTTTGCAACTTTGTCATGTTACATTTCCTCAGAAAAATATAAAGAAGAAACCCCCAAAAAAGGATGATAGAGGAACTTTAAGTCATCCATTCCTCACAAATAAAACCAGGACTCTGTAATGTGTGATTAATATCTAACCTTTTAGCTTCATTTGACCTGTTTTCCTGTATTGATGAGGTAGAAACGCAGACAGTAATAACGCTTTCGGGCAAGAAAACTGAAATCTAAATTTACAGTGGGAAAGGAGGTCTGGTTTAAAGATGTTCTTTGTTTGCTTCCTGTGTTAAACTTTCACAGGCCACACTTTCAAAGATAAATCAGAGAAATCCACCCATGTGGCTGGGATGGTTTTTGGCATGCACTGTTTCCTCTCACCACTGGAAACAAGTCAAACTAAATCTCAAATATCTCATTAGCATAAAGACTTGTTGACTTCCTCTGCTGGAAAATCCACCCTTAAAAGCGCATTTTTCAGCATGCACAATATTTGTCTCTTTGTTGCATGGTGTACACGGTGTTCCTGCAACAAACTCACAGTTAGCATCATTTAACAACAAGTTTATAATATTTCCAGCTTGGTCTTAAAAGCCCAGATTGTTTCAGGCATTAAAAAAAATTGTGTTTTCTTTTAAGCACCGTTTCTTTCTGTGAGTCATCCTAGAAAGGGCACATATTTGAAGATAATTTCTTTTCCCTTCAACATGCTGGAGTGCAAATCAAGTGTAGAGGACAGAAGGAGGGGATACTCTAGAGACCCAGCCCTTCTGTTGCATTTGGATGCCACTGATGTTGTCCTTAATGCAGTTTGCATGGAGATGGACCCAGCAGATACCGGGAAGTCATTATGTGGGGGTGCAGTGGAATAACGTACAACTGTTATTGTGATACAGGCAAATAGCACTCAGCTACACTGAATTCTGTTTGGCTGAGTGCTTCTTGATAATGATATCCATTGTGAGATGAGATTATTTTCAAGATGCATGTATTTCTTATCTAAAACTATATAAATACTTCTGTTAGGTTCTTCATCACTTCATATATTTGTAATTCATTTTTCTCATCCCACAGGAATGCATGGTGGACGAGGACTGTGGCAACCTGAAATACTGCCTGTATGAGATTGAGAACTCCAAATGCCTCCCCTGTATCCCAACAGACATGGTGGGGAGACAGTTAGTGTTGTCTTTTGTGGTTGCGATGAGCTACTATAATCAGTGTCTTTGCTTCAAGTACAGCATCACTAGTCACGATGAACCCACAGACGATTCACACTTCCCCTCTAATCGTTGTATTGCCTTTCAGCTTTCGAGGGAACAACCTTCCAGCTACAGTACAGTGTGACTGGCTGCATGTAAAAGTAATCACCATAACTTAACCTGGTGGTTTCTGGACTGTCAGTCCCATCGGTCTGAAAGCTCAGCTTTAGCCTCCATGTTGTTTTTGTTGAGTTACAAAGGAATTTGGGCAAAAAGAGTGGAGTACAAGTTTATCAGTTATGCTTGAAAGTTTGAGTAGTGGATGCATCCATGAATGGTTTGGATGATAAGTGCTAACAGACTAATAAAATACTGGAATTTCACTCACTGATAGGAGCTCTGCCGTTGAGAGGTTCAGTTCAGTCACTCAGATTAGCAGTGCTTGGCTAAAACCTGTCAGTCACAGAGACAACATGGCTAACTTTGTCTCAACAAAATACATACAGGGAAAAAAATTAAAATTGAAAAATCACAAACAAACAGTTGTTATCTAGGAGAAACGTCCACAGAAGATAGTTCTGTTCTAAGATGTAAACATCCTTTATAATGCTGATAAGTTGGACAGCATTGTTACTGTGCCTCCCTTGTGTCCATTGTGCTACGTCTTGATAATCCTTGACTCTACGTTTGTGTATTTCCTGTTTTACTTTGACAGTCTGTGTCCTGTGTCAGTGTATTCTGTTTTCCTTCCTCCCTGTCTGGTCTTGTCTGATTAGTCACAGCTGTGTTCCTCACCTGTTTGCCATTTCCTCCTTTCCCTCTGTGTGTATATATGTTTCCGGCTGTTCCTCGTTGGATCATCTGCTTGTTCTTCATGTTCTTTTTTTTAGCTTCTCCCAGTTTAGGTTGTGTTAGTGTTTTCAGTTCCCCTTCCGTTAAATGCTTTACAGTGTTTTTTACAGCCACCAATGAAAGGCTCACTTTCAGTTTAAACCTCCACCTGTTCCTCTACTTGTCTGCACTTGTGTCTGCACCTCTCATCTCCACACAGTCTGCCCTTGCAAACCGTGACAATATGGGGACTTATATATTGGAAGCCTCACGTGGCCAATAGAGGAACTGCAATTTCTGCAGTTTTTTTTATTAGAAATATACAGCATAGAAAATATTGGACATAGTTTTAATGTTATGTGCAGTAGACAAAAAGTAGCACTGAACTTGAGTTTAAAGATAATTTGTGTTGAATGTTTGTTTTGAATAAAACATTTTCTATTGTAAAGTGGCAGAAATAAGTATTTAGATCGTTTACATAATACAATCCATAATCTTGGTTAATTAATGGTACCAACGTTTCTGAAATAAATGATATATACTACAATGTGCAATATTTGCTCCTAAAATATAGTAGATTAGAAGCGGAATGTAGCATAACATAGAAATACCACCCCATGCCCCCCTCTGCACACACCCCTGGACTTGAAAATGTTCAAAAGTAACATAAGTGACATAAAAATGCATTAAGCAAAAAAAAAAAGTGCCCTTTATGCCGTGATGTAATGCTATTTACATGAATCCAAAAGGATGCACTTGACATACTTTTTTTTTAACATATCTGATTGTGTGTCCTCACATAGCCCTGCATCAAGGATGAGGAGTGCTGCTCTGATCAGATGTGTGTTTGGGGCCAGTGCACAGTGAACGCCACCAGTGGAACAGAGGGAACCATCTGTCAGAGTCAGAGTGACTGCAGGCCACACCTCTGCTGTGCTTTCCAGCCAGGTAAGTTTCTTCTGGGTTGGAACACCAGAGAGACTACCTTAAAGTGCCTAATTGGATCTGTTTGCTATTTTCAAGCAATCTGTAATATGTTATTATCTCAACCTGTAACCAGTTCTAAATGCTTGGTGACAGAATTTAGGAATCAAACATAGTCCAAGACTAACAAAGTCAGAACGGGGATAGTCTAAGTGAGACATTGTGATTTGGACTGACCAGTCAATGACTTAGAAGATTCAATAAAGGCAATTTTAAACTCCATGTATTTTTTTCACTGCTGCTTCCATCAGAGCTTTTGTTTCCAGTATGTAACCCCAAACCGGGCAAGGGGGAGTCCTGTCTAAGCCACCCCAACCTGCTGATGGACATGCTAGCCTGGGACCAGGAGGGTCCCCGTGACCACTGCCCCTGTGCCGATGACCTTCAGTGCCAGCCTCATGGGTGAGACCAAACACAGCAGCACACGTTTACAGTGAAAAAAGAGCAAGTGTAATTTGTTTTTGCTTGAAATTCACATTTTTCTCTTTTCTTGCAGCCGTGGGTCTGTGTGTGGATAACAGTACTAGACTTACAGTGCAGCAGAGTTAGATGAAATGACCTTAACGATCCAAAGACGGACGCCTCTGCTGATCAACAGCTGCTGAAAGTACAGGCTGTTGCTTCAGGACTGAACTTGCACTCACTGTATTATTTATGCCTTACTGCCAGTGTATATTATATATATATTAAAAACAACAACAACAACAAATGACTTGTTTTCAGCTTTGAGAACCAAGGAAAGCACGTTCTGTTATTTACTGGTGATCTTATTTTTGGTTTGTCAGCAGTGAACACTAGAGGGCGAACTTTTACACATTTAAAAACTTGGTGGGTATCTCTTTTTGTAATGACCTTTCATTGACATTACTGGAAACTATTAAATGTCAAGAAAATGTGTGAAGGAGAATTAATAAGGAGGAGAATCAGTGAATCAGACTGCATGTGCACTCGGCTCCTTAACCTTGTGATATCTGCTGGACTACAAAATACACATCGTACTTCAGCCTGACTTTCTGACTCATATTATTTCATGCAGGTCATATAAAAAAGAACCAGAGGTGAAAAATATCACTTACAAATTCAAAAAGTTGGATCCATCTATCCACTTATCTTTTTCAGGGTCCTGGGGGGCGCTGGAGCCTATCCCAGCTGTCTTAGGGCGAGAGGCAGGGTACACCCTGGTCAGGTCACCAGTCTGTCGCAGGCGACCAATCATACTCACATTCACTCCTGCATTCAATCCTATGGGCAATTTTATGTTTTCCAGTTAACCTGTCCCCACTAACTGCATGTCTTTGGACTGTGGGAGGAAGCCGGGGGAGAGCCATGCAAACAAATAAAATAGATCCTGGTTTGTTTGTTTTTTTGTTTGTTTTTGTGTTTTTTGCTGGGAAGGGGATCCAGTATAACTCCTTTCTGTGACTGAAGAAAAATTTCTTCCACTCATCTCTTATCGAGTTCAGGCTGGAGGCTGTCTCATATTACCCAAAGTAAAAAATTAAAAATGATGACTATCCTAAATGCTGGCAAAACAAACAAATGTGCATAAAAATGCAAATTAAACTATAGTTAACTTTAAACAGTTATATAGCTCATAATCTGGATATAAATCTATGTTCTTCATGCAACACAATACCTGGATATGAAGCAGATGTTATTACAGCCGCATAATCAACAGGCTGTTGATCAGGTTATGACATAAAATATTAAATGTAATTTTAATCAACATTTACATGATTTGTCAGTCCTTTTGATAGTTTGTTTTCATTAAAGGGCTGATGGTGTGTTGCTATAAATTATGGATTTAGAAAATTCCAACTGTTGCAATGAATTTGTATGAACAAGATATAATAGTGTAATAAATTGTCAATGTGACAAGATATAATACAGCAGAGGGGGCAAAAGCGCAGACAGTCACGTACGTAGCAGAAAAGATGTGTTAAAAATACTCTGGCAAAACTGGGAGTACTAATTCAACTTCTTCAAGGGAAAAAGTGTATTTTAAATTAATAAAATATTCAACTTAAACATCTGTTATATAAAACTCGACCAAAGAAAATAAAGGGAATTTTAAAAAGATATATCTATATTTTCTGTTGCCTACATTGTAGAGCGGTGACTCTGCATACACACTTAAAAACATAGGTTGTAACGGTGCAACATGGGCAAAACAATTACAAAGAAAGATGTCACGCTTTCCATTTGTGAGCACTTCATCTGTAAGTAGAGCAATATCACCACCTGCTGGTGCTCACAGTCAGACACACACTTTTCCTCTGACCTCATTACAGAAACACTAGAACAGCGATCCCCAACCCTTTTCCCGCCACGGACCTGTTTATGTCCGACAGTTTTTTCACTGACCGGCGTTTAAGGTGTCGCGGATAAATATAACAAAATAAAACCGGTACCAAAACCAAAGAATGTTTATTCATATCACACGGGAAAATCATAAATTTCACACCCGAGCTTAAGTTAGCGCAGGCCGGTGTTCTGGGAATCCATCCTACCTGGAAAAACATTCTACCCAATGTTTCTGCGCAGACGCGGCGCATGCGCACAACACCAACGCCAAATAACAGCGGTACCAAACGACTCACGGACCGTTTTTTGTTTTTTTAATCTTCGTCCTGTATTTAATAAATTCAAAATGAAGTAAAATCGCTAAATAAGGCAATATTTCAATTAGGAAAAAAGTGCATTTATGTCAGTCATCCGGAAATATAGTCTTTTAATTCACCCGTTTCCTTACATTATATTGTTAAACTGTTTTAAAATCCAATAACTTGAATCCCAAAAGACTTACTGGTGAAAACTTCTTTGATTGCCCATGCCAAATCATAATATTACAAAAAGGGAAAAATAACACTGTTTGTTATTTAAGGATCACCAAGATTACAAACGTGCTAAAAAATAAAGCTAAGCAGTGCTACATGATCAAAAATACAACTACAAATCTAATCGTGAAGAAGAGAAGAGTTGATTAATAAAAAAAAAAAAGTCATTTTGACTCAAACCTGAGCCCACCTCTGTTTGCAGCTATTTATCTTTAGCTCATATTGATTTTAGTCTAAACTCTAGCTCATACGCACAACAGTTACATTTACATCTGCAACACAAGAATTTCACTTCTACTTGAGCATTGCTTTTTTAAATCCAGAAGAATATTGAAATCATCCTCCAGAATTTTTAAATATAGTTAGTAGTGTCAGACCAGTTTTGATGTTTTGGTCTCCCTGTTTTTCGTTGATTTTTTTTTTTCCATCAGGATTTGGCAGTCACTGAACCAAGCAGAGGAGATAGCACAAACTGCATGGCAGCAGAAGCAGTAGCTGCATAGCTGGCCCCTGGTTTGTTCCCTGTTTTGGCTGTTAAAAAAAGAAAATGAAGATATCCAGTAATATCTGAAAATAGCCTTGTTTATTCCTTTAAAAAAAAAACAAGTTAGAATGTGTCACAGCTTTTCACCTTAAATTGATTTCATACCACTGTCAGTACTATATATCACTTTAATTTCCCCTTTAAGTTTATATCCTGTTTCTAATGTTTGTAGTGTGAAAGCCTCTGTCATCTGCTGTTGATGAACTGTATGAAGGTGTTTGACGGATTGGATGGCATAAACAGGCATTTGAGATCATGTCTGAGGGGTCTCCAGGAGTGGAAGAATTCATGAAAGTTAATGTTTCTCATTCCATTCAAACTGTTTTTGGTAGAAAATATAAACATAGTTTTGCAACAGTAATTTATTACTAACATGCATTATTGTCTAAATTGGTGCATGTGTCTGCTGTCACTAATACCCCAGAGCATACAGTTCATTCTATACAGGAAAAATAAGTAGACAATAAATAAATCATCCATGCCATCAACACACAGCAGTGTAAGAGTGTAATTACTGACTCCTTCTTCACAGTCAAGACAACCCGTTGTTAGACTGGCTGTCTCCATCAGTCTATATGTCTGTGTCTCTGTAGTTTACCTCTGCAGGCTGTTTCTCCAGCCTTTCTGATTCTCACTTTTCCAAGTATTTTTGATGTATTTATTAATTATGCTATGATTCTTTTAGTGCAGTTCTGTTATGAAGTCAAAAGGTAATGTTTTAAAACTGAGGTGACGAGCAAGAGGCAGATCTGACTGAGAAACTCAATTACAAGTATACTGCACACTCAAAGGTTATCAGCATGGGAATTATACAGTAAAGTCCTCTTCATTTAAAAAATGAACATCTTAAATTTAAATTTAGCTTAACACTAGTGATTGAGCTTATGACGTCATCAGGAAAGTGTTTCAGCTTCTATACAGCTTTCTTTTTGTAACTCCACAAGTCGCCCTCTGCTGGCCATAAAAAAGAAAGCAAGTATAATAGACTGCATTCTTTCTCGGAGCCTCGGTGTCCTTTTGGTGTATCACCTCCTCCCTCCTGGCTCACAGCTTCTTCTTCTTCTTCTTGGTTGGCAACCAATGTTAAGGCGCATTACCGCCCCCTGGCTCACAGCTCAGTGCACATTTAGATGAGAAAATATATATTTGACACATTTAAGGAAAATACTAATAAAATAAAATAAAAATGTTCCCTTTAGATTTTTTTTGCTGTATAAAATAGTTGTTTTCTTTTACAATCATTCATCTTAGCAGTAGGATTTACATTAAAAGAGAAACAAATTAAGTTTGAGTGAAAATATACATTTTTGCACTCTCTGGTCAACTGACTCATTGACTCAAATGACTCAAGAAATCCGATTCACTTTGGTGAGTGACTCATTAAAACTTGATTCAGTAAAAAGAATCGAATTTACCATCACTAGCACATAAATAAGTTACATAATATTCAGTACTTACTTTTAAAAGTTTACTCTTTGGCCTCTCCGATTCAGCCGTTTTTTTCGGCAAAATTATCCACACCCACCGCAGCGCTATGGAGTCTGGGATATGTTGGGCCATGAAGTCTACACCGCCATATCCTTAAAATTCAGGAATACATTTGAGGGCTGCATTTCGAGCAGCCTTCGTCGCGTCGCTGTGACATAATCGGCCTTAAAATGCGGCCTTTAAGGCTGCAGACCCTGAATTGGGATACAACCTGTGTTTCCTGCACCCTCTGTACTACTTGAACGTCATCTTCAAGAATGTCTCAATTCCAGAAAATAGTTACTCCATATTAACTTAACTACTTCTGAAAGGTGGGTTGTATAGTGTATATAGTATATTATATAAATGGGTCCAGCTCTTTTTTTTTTTACCTTCATAACTTTTGAAGTACAGGAGACACCCACCTGAAAAAAGCCACAATCTTCTTTTGCACAATTAGTTTCATAATCATAGTTTCAAGTGTTATGAAATCAGTTTTACCCCGGTTCTTTTTATTCCTCAGGCATCCAGAGACGGCACCGGAACTCAGTAATTATTTCACAAAACCTTTATTCATCTTTATTCATCTTCGTTTAAGCATGCATCTTCTAGAAGGGAAGACGTGCAAGGCCGGTGTCCCTCTGCAAATCTTCCACCTCTTTGTTAGTTACAGCCAGCTTTATAGACGTGACCCCATCATAAAACCCCCATGATGTGCTGCAAACTCTGTGTGTCTGTGTGTATGCACGAGCACGTGAGTGCCTGTGTGTGCACGTACCCGTGTGTATGTGTGTGCACATGAGTGAGTGTCCATGTGGGTGTGGGTGCGTAACAGTTAAAGCACTGTGTGTGTGTGTGTGTGTGTGTGTGTGTGTGTGTGT